AAGAGTTGGCGGTGGGTGGTGATGACTAGCTGCCTTCCCTCTAGTCTTACACTGCTAAATTAGGGACGGCTAGCGCAGATAGCCCTCGTGTAGCTTTGCGCGAAATTCCAAAACAAACAAACAAACAAAACAAACAAGTGACTTTAGTTATCAAGTAGAAATCCCATGTACGAAACGATAAACTAAGCACAAATCGCATAGTAATCTTGAAAATAAGGGTCAAAACTATATATTATGAAATCAATACAACTCCCCAAAAGGAAACATTCAAACCACGGTTTGGTTAAATACAAACTGTAAAAGACCAAACAAAACTATTTCAATAAAACTTTGAAAGAGGAATCATGAGACGCTAATTTATTGTCGAAAATATTTCCGACTGTAGAATACATATATAACAAAATAGTTGAAATTAATACGCGACCTTGAAATCCACTGTTCAAATACGTTGTCCCAAACATTGTAATACCCACTCGGTGTTCTTCACAATTTAAAATGTTTATACATTAAACACATATATTTGTATTGTATACAAGTAATATCTATGTTTAGAAGGCCCTAATTTTGAATTGATAGACTAGAGGAAAGGAAGATAGTCAAAGCACCCACAGTCAACTCTTATCTGACCCTAAAGTGGTATTTAACTGTCAATTTTAAAACGCACCCAAAGTACGGAGCGCGTTTGTGCAGCAACGGAAGAAGAAACACGAGTCTTCTGATTCAAAATCCGGACACTCTAAGCACTTGGCCACGCCCGACTGAAGCTGATAAAAACATCTACCAACATACAGATTTATTTTAATTCCTTCAACATCCTATTATGTGGACATTACAACATTACCAAAATCCTGCTCCTATATAACGCAATTGTTTAAAATATATGTATGACAGTAAAAGCACATATCATAAAAATAAAACTAACCAAACATACAATTGGCTTGCTTTATATATGGATATTCTTCATCATTTACCTGAATGTCCACTTTTTACATTTAGAATTTTCAAAAAAAAAAACAAGATAAAACTATTGGATCTAATACAGAAAGGACTGGTATTTTAGTTAATGTTTTACAAACTTTAGTTTATTTTTTCTAGAAGTTGAAAATTAATTGTACTTGGTTAACAAATTGCTAAAAACTTTGTCAAAACTCACATCTTACAATAAAAATATTACACTTTAAGTTGATGATTAAAGTCTAGGAATATGCCCGACTCGTTCTTTCTCATCGTTTCTTTTCACTAGCAGTATAGTCACAGAAATATGAACTAAATTCGTAGCTCGCTTATTAGTATAGTCTACATTAGTCCATCGGTACTGAACAGATCCAAGGAAGATATA